GCTTTTGTTGGAGTTGAAAATATATTTATTGAAATAGGTAATCCTATTATATAATTTTTTTTTTGTTACAAATCAACTCAAATTCAAAATACAAAAATCAGGAAAAAAAATTACAATTTATGACTGAACAAAACAGAAAAATAATTAAAGTCCAAAATATAAAAAAATATATATATAAAAATTCCAAATACAAAAGTATAAAATACAAAAGTATAAAATACAAAATACACATATTAATACAATCAAATATTTTTTTTTAAAGAGATTTGCACATTTAATTTACTTTACACTAATTCTATCAATCATGAACATGTTTTATAATTTTCTTTTTAGAAACTGTTACTGACGAACTAGCTTTAATACCAAACGGCAATTTATTGTAATGGTCAAAGCATTTAAAAAATAAGGAATTTATTGATGTTCGTTTATTTGTTCTATGTGCAAGTTACTGTTATTTCTGGTAGAATAGTTATGAATATGATTGTTAAAATTAATATATTCTCGAAAATAAGGAAGGGCCAAACCATTTAATATTTTATATACAAACACCATAGTCAAATAGTATGATCTCTGATAAACCGAAATCCATTATAGTGATCTATGCATGGTAGATATAGGAGTATATTTGCTACACCTCAATATAATCCTCATACCACGATTTTGCAGTTTTTGTAACTGTGTCGTTTGGTTTAAGTTGAAAAGGAAGATAACCGATGAAAAATAATCAAAATGTGGTTGAATAATTGAGCGATAAACTGTAATTTTAGTTTCAGCTGATAGGTTTTTTGATATTCTTGCAAAGAAGTAAAGTTTCTTCGATATTTTTTTAAAAATATAATTAAAATGTTCACTAAACAATAAAAAATTATCAAGTTGAAAGCCAAGGTATTTAGTAGATGTTACAATATCAATTTTCTCATCGTTAATTGTAAGATTAATTGCATTTAAGTCTATATTGGTATATTTATATTTAGTAGTTATTATCATAGCTTTAGTTTTTAATACGTTAAGTTTAAGTTTATTATACATTAAATAATTATTGGCAGAGTTTAGAGCCCGATTCATTTTTTGTACCGCATTTTCCAAATTATTATCATAACAAGCCTATAAAGAATCATCTACAAATATATTTATAAAATCACAATCAACAAAGAGGTTTAAATCATTTATATACAAGATAAATAACAGTGGCCCCAGAACGCTACCTTGGGGTACACCAATGTTAATATCCTTTTCATCAGATATATTATTATTAACTTTTACTCTTTGTTTTCTTCCAAATAAGCAATTAGTAAACCAATTCAAAACACAACCATTAATGCCATATCCAGTAAGTTTCTTTAAGATAATATTGCGATCTATTGTTTGAAATGTTCTCTTTAGGTCTAGAAAAACTGCTACTACATAGTTATTATTGTCTACCTCCATTTTAAATTTTCATAAGGAGAGTTGCAGAGCTGGTTCACAAGAGTGTTTTTTGCGGAATCCAGATTGGTTAAGAAATAAAATACAATTGTGTTCAATATGTTGAAGAGTTTGTTCATATACAATTGATTCAAGCACTTTTTAGGAATTGGAACTATTGTACTTATTTTTAGTGAATCTGGTACTGTTGCAGTCTGAAGAGAAGTATTAATTAGATTTAAGATAACATGACCACACGTTTCAAATACTTCTTTCAACATTTTGGAATTAAGGATTTCATAAATGGTACATTTATTGTCCAACGACTTTACTTTGAAAATTGAGGATATATATTATAGTTACAGAAATTTCCTGTTATTTCAGTAGAGATGCTATCAACTATTTGAGTAATGCTACCTATAAAAAATATATTAAATTTACTTGCAATTTCAGTAACATTATGTTCGATTTGGCGTTCATTGTTTAAATTAAATTCAATAAAATTTGGAAAATTTTGACTGTTAGTATTAATTAACTTTTTAAGAGTCTTCCACATTAGTCGAGAATTATTTTTATATCTATCAATTTTATTGAAATAATATTGTTCTTTTTTTTATTTTTAGTAAATTTACAACTTAATTCCTCAATTTTTTAAATGCTCCCCGTTTTTCATTTTTATCAGCACCAGAAGTGGTCTGAAATTCTTTATACATTTTATTCCTATCCTTTATTTTATAATGAATGTCATTATCAAACCATGGAACATTACTTTTATACTGGCAAACTTGTATAGGTGCTACATTATTTATTACCGTTTGACAGTTCTTATAAAGTTCATTGTATATAGTATTTACATCAGTAGAATTTAAGTTCCAATTACATGATATTAAGTCGAGTTTAATTTTATCTACTTAGTTTTACTAAAGTTTCTATATATTTTAGTGTTTATATTTATGTCTTTGTTGTTATTACTAAGATTAACAGATAATCTAGAATGGTCACTAATTTTTATTAACTAATACATAATCTATCAAAGTTTTGCTATTATTTGTAATTCATGTAGGCTCAATTCCATATTGTAAAAACATTGCTTTAA